TCCCTACCACCAGTAGCCGTTGTTTCACTAAATGTCATTGAGTCGGGGAAACTCAAGTTATTGCGTCTCTTGCTGTTAACGTATCTCCAAAACGACTTAACGTCTTTTGTCAAACCATTTTCGATAGATCTGATGTATTCATTGTAACAACAATTTATGAGTTTTTTGCATCTAGCCCGGAGGAGAGAGAATGTATCGTAATCTCGTGGGTTTTTGTATTTTTTGTAGCGCACGTGGTATTTGTTTTTTTCCCGCATACAACGACGCAAGCCAGGACTGAACCATTTGGGATATTTATTTGAGCGGTTCTTAACTGTGGGAGTACAATCGTTAATAATTTCATAGATCACATAGTAAAATCTAGCCACAGCCTCATCTACGTCTGCCCCATAAAGTAGATCTGACCAGTTGGTATCATTAATTCTCTGCTTTACAGTTTCATATTGGCATTTATAGAAATTTAGACGCTTTGACTCATTGACCTTCAGAGGTTTATAATTAAAAGAATTTGAGTCTTGAAAATCAATAAGTAAGGCAGGGTGATGTTTATCTTCTTTTAATGAGGTCTTCTCGTTGGTGATGGTCATATTTCCGGAAGTGCTAAGAGCAAGATCTAGTATCTTATTGTTATTATTGGGGATGGAGTTAAACTGTGATATATGTAGCAAGCTAGTCACAACTCATCACATAATCACGAAAAAAATGTAAAAATCTCATTTCACGGGTAAGTACTGCCTAGCATCTTATATTTTTGTAAAAAACATTCATCAAAATAAAATAATAAATTTGACAGACGCCAATATAATGCAAATGTTGCTAGGCATAGTAAATTATTTTACCCCATTTTTTCTTATTATTATAATTATAAAAAAATTGCATATTGAAAAAAATACATACATATTGCCAATAGTCTCATTCACATATAAGTAGGTATTTTTATTTCCCAAATATTATTAGGGTTCCCATTTGCCACGAAAAAATGTGTAGATTTTATTTTGTTTTGATAATGTGCAGTTGTTTTTACCTTTTTATGGTATGTGTTTTAGGATAAATTATATAGCCTATGATTGTTTTTTTTATTATTCAAATTTATAAAATATATTTAACATTTTCTAAAAAGACGGTACGTTTTACCACTAGCCAACAGTGATTTATTTAATTAAGTTAAGGATAACGTTTAGCCAAAATAGCAAAAAATATTTATTTTGTTTCAATGTATTCGTTTTCAGATTTCCATCTGATTCCAATATTGCTGCTCGATGGATTGAAAAAAATCAGACTTAATCGCAATGAAAATTATTGGAAGCCAACTAAACACACAAAGATATGCTCGATAATTTCGATGAAAAAGAAAAGTATATGACTAAAGGTGGTTTATGTAAATTACGTCAGGGTGCTATACCAACAAAGGTATGAGGATATTTCTACCATAATATATGTAACTAACTTATTAAATAAATAAATAAAACCTTATCTAATTCATGATTTTTTCCTAAGTACATACTTATGATGTTTACTGTTGCTATGTTTTTAGGGTCTGCACATTTTTTGTACAGAAGATAGTAATGACATATGTAATGACATTTGTGATTCTAATAAACTGCGTGAACCACAACTGGTTAGCTTTTTTAATATTTACACGTAAAATTGGTAAGCTCATTAATAATGTTTACGCATTTCTGGTCTATAATCTTGAGATCGTTTTTCAGGGCGCTTCTTCTAGTAAAGTCGATGAGAATTTTATAACTCCAACTATATCTCCATCCCGACAGCAACAAAGAATAAAAGGCAACGAAGCATATGCATCTAACAAACCTGTGCGTAATAATGACCAGATTTTAAGTAATTTTTATCTAATTAATTGACATACAGCTGCTTCCTATTGTATCAAAAACGTGCATAATAAAAATAAAACTTGTTTACAGGTATATCAAGAGAGCGACATAGACTTTCCATTTTTGACACACCTCGAAAGTCTGCACTACGGAGTCAACTAGCTAAAAAGATCTCTCTTCAACGCAAACACACTAAAAAAATTAAGATATTGCAACAAAAAGCACGTCGCTTGAAGAAAAAAAATGTATGTTTGCAAAAAATTTTAGCAAACTTGCAAAAGAAAAGGTTTATTGATAATGACGTCTCAAATATTTTGTCAGAAAACGTAATTGCAGCGGAATTATATAACAACTTGTTAAAAAAAGTATTGAAGAAAAAAATCGTCCAATGTCAAAGTATACACCAGAATTTCGTAAGTTTTGCTTAACATTGCATTTCTACTCACTACGGGCATATAATTACGTCCGTAGAACCTTTACTTCGTATTTACCGTATCCAAAAACCATTTATAACTGGTATCGCAACGTGAATGGTTCTCCTGGGTTAACGGATGAAGCGTTTAAGCTTTTGAAAACTAAAGTACATTGTTCTGAAAAGAAATTGATATGTAATTTAGTAGCAGACGAAATGGCAATACGTCCGCAAAATATAAATGGTGGTCATGGATAGGTAGACCTAGGAACAGGCACGTCTGAATATTCTTCGAAAGCTACGGAAGCTTATACATTTATTCTCGTTTGTCTTAATGAGCACTGGAAAATTCCACTGGGATACTTTTTGGTTCATAGCCTATCCGGTGAGCAAAAAAGTAATATAATTAAAATGTGTCTAACAAACGCAGTGTTGGTACCGACTTTGTTATATGGCAGCGAAACCTGGGTATGCCAGAAGAAGCATAAAAGTAAGTTGAATGCAGTGGAGATGCGATCTCTTCGTAAAATGTGCGGCGTTACCATGGCCGACCGAAAGCGAAACGAAGAGATTCGCAATATGGCAGGTTTGAAAGATGACCTTATCACAAAAATTGATAAGGGCGTGCTTCGGTGGTTTGGGCACGTTGAGCGAATGAGTGAAGACCGAATAGTGAAGAAAATATATAGCGCGAAAGTTAATATTAAAAGGTGTCGAGGTAGACCGAGACTAACTTTCGAAGACCATGTGAGCAAATTGCTCGAAGAGGGTAGGGTCAAGAGTACTCGGATACCTAGACGTGCATGCATGAAGAAGATAATGAATCTGAAAGAAGCGAAAGAGGTTTGTAAGGATCGTGACACTTGGCGATCTGTTCTCTCTGGCTACCCCGTCAGGGATTGTGCGTGAAGATAAGTAAGTAAGTAAGTCTAACAAAATGTGAAGAAGTAGTTGTGAAAGTAGTCGCCCTTACCTTTGACGCTCACGCTACCAATATTTCAGCAATGGAATTATTAGGATGAAAGATAAAGGACAATAAAAAAATGAAAACTACATTTAAGCACCCAACAGCCGATCATGACGTAGCTGTGTTTTTAGATTTCAAACCATTTTGAGGACAAAAAAGAATTTATAGACCAGGAAGGAAGAAAGAAAAACTAATTGGGAATTCCTAACAAAATTAAATAATATACAAGAAAAAGAAGGCTTACACTTAGCCAACAAATTAACTCGTAGACACCTCGATTTTAAAAACTCTGTCATGAAAATAAAACTAGCTTCCCAATTGCTAAGTAGGAGTGTAGCAGTTGCATTAAGGTTTTGTCGTGAAGTCCTAAAATTGGACAGTTTCAAAGAAAGTGAAGGCACAGAAAATTTCATAATGATCTTCAATAACTTGTTTGACATTTTTAATTCTAGAAGCTTAACTCAACATTGGATTTTGCCATCCCCTTTCCCGTGAAAATAAAACAGAAATATTTGAATATTTGGATAAAGCTAAAAAATACATACATAACTTACAGATCAAAAACACCAGAAAACGTAAATTTAAAGAAAACGAAAGTTCAATACAGTTAAAAATAAAAAGTTTTCGATCGGTCTTCGCAGTCAAGTGCTCCCCTGGTTTCAAAGGATTGCTCGTATATATCGAAAGCCTTATGTACTTATTTAGAACTCTGGTTGAAGACACACAGGATCTGAAATATATTACCACTTATAGAATAAGTCAGGATAATAATTTTTGGGTCAATAAGGATGCATGGTGGGCACAACGATAATCCCAACGCCCTTCAATTTAAAGGCAGCTATAGAAAATTACTCTGCCACATGGAGTGGATTCCGATTTGGACTAAAAATTTTTTACATGTTTGCCAACATAAATGATGAAAAACCCCAAAAGAATTTTTGGCGCCAATGCCCCTGAAACTTTTATGAGGGTTTGAAGTTGTAGATTTTTAAGGCAGTTTTTCATGATAAATCGACTAAACCTAACTTTTTTACACAAGAAAATTGACTCAATGTTTGCCCCTGGCATTTGCGCCAAAAATCCCTTTGGGGGTTTTTCATCATTTATGTTGGTAAATATGTAAAAAGAATTGGTCATAGCAAATATCAAAATAGTCCTTTGTAACAACATCACTTAATACGTCTGTCTAATTCAATCATCTAATTTAATATCATCAAAATCACTTAATAAAACTGTCGACAAATGCCAAAAACAATAAAGTAATTTCGTTTATTGTTCATCGTGGTAATAGAGAAGAAATGATTTGAGCCATTTTATTGGGTACATTTTTACATATTTCTTTGCTATATAAATAAATGCCTTATACATAACTGTATTTGTCTTTGAATTCATTTCACTTATTCTAAATATCCAGCTTCGATTGGGGTGGAATATATGAAAAAAAAGCGCTATTGTGAGTGCAAATGGCAGAATAATATATATGGCATTAAAATATCCGAAATTCTAAATTTTGAACTTTTGACTTCTAGATTTGTTTTTACATAATTCCTTTTTATCATAGATGCGCTTTACTGTATTCTAAACATAAAAAAAACATGTGTGCAATTCAAACGCGGTAGAAGTAAAATCTTCAAATGAAATAAATAAAAATATTTCACAGTAAATCATGTGCAGTAATGATAATGATGACGATGATGATGAAGTGGTAATATTACAAAATTACTTTTGTCTACAAACTAATGAAAAAATGCAGTTGTCTATTGATTGTTATTTAATCATAATCTGTGATTTTTTAGTTCTAATGTCGAAATAACAGTGAATTTATTTAGTGAAAGTCATTACTAGAAATAACAATATACTCACGAAAATGGTTTGTAACGATAAACGTTTGAACTTTCACAATTGTATCTTTATAAAATTTTCATTCGCGTTAGGCGCTTGACAGCTATACAATAATCTGAGGTTATGATGTTACTGCGTTTTCTTTTCAGAATAAATTAAAATCATCACAGAGAGATAAAGTTAAGAAGTTCGTCGCTTTCACACAAACAAGTGAAAGTACTGCCATATACTGCCTTTCGCAAAACGATTGGAAACTAGACTTAGCGAGTGACAACTACTTTCAGAACCCTGAAGCTTATTACAAAGATTCTGGAAAATCTGCTGTGGACAAAAAAAAGATTGAACAGCTCTTTAACAAGTACAGAGACCAGCAAGAAAATGATAAAATAACTGTAGATGGTGTTATGAAGTTCCTAGAAGATTTAAATCTTAGTCCTGAATCAATTCTAGTACTTATAATAGCATGGAAGTGCAAAGCAGCAGTCCAGTGTGAATTCACTAAAGACGAATTTACTACTGGTTTAATAGAACTTGGTGTAGACAGCATAGACAAATTAAAGGCAAAGCTGCCAACTCTTGAATTGGAAATCAAAGATCCAAATAAATTCAAAGATTTTTATCAGTTTACATTTAATTATGCTAAGAATCCAGGACAGAAAGGCCTAGAGCTAGATATGGCTGTAGCTTATTGGAATATAGTACTCCGTGGGAGGTTTAAGTTTTTAGATGCTTGGTGTAAATTTCTCACGGTAGGTTAAAACAAAACAATAATTAAAATTCACTAGTATATTATTTAATCATAATAGTTTTACTAGATAAAAATACAAACAAGAATAGCAGCATATATTAAGAAACCCACAGGGTAGTGATTATTCACTACAGTGTGATCAATTTATGTGTTTAATTTCAATATTTACTGTGTCATGAGATTCATACTAAACATTTCAATTGTTGGGATAGTGAATCCTGACAATTTGTTTTATGTTGTTGTTATAGGTACCATGTCTTGTTGCTTGGCACTTTTTAACCTTGATTAAGTACTGCTATGTGATGGTGGATTAAAAAAAAATCTATCACTCGATCTTGTGGTGTGAAATAAAGTTTATTCTTTTCATCCAAAATTTTGTTGTACTCAACATCCAATATTTTTAATTTTCGTTATTTATTTCTGGCTTTACTAGGTATGTCATGGATCATTTTTGCTCTTACTTTTATTTTTGCAGTTGTAAGTTATATAGCCTAGCTAAGTTAAAATCAAGAAAATATTACATTTTAAATTTATACTAATTACTATCTGGTGGGGTATATATACAGCCAGTGTGACTTATCAAAAAGAAGGGAAGGGGACATTGCAAAGTTTCATACCTAAGGCACCCGTATGGCTATGGCTGGCTCTACTAACAACTGGAAATGCCCATGTGTGTCCAGCTGTGGACTTTTATAGACTGATAAAGAAAAAAAGTACCCTAAGTCTTTGCACAAATACAACAAAATAGCCAGGATTCCCATTGACATGCTTGAAGTACAGTGTCGTGGATCGGAGACTGTCTTACTGTATAATGCACTTGCTACTGGCTGTGTTCACAAATGTATGTGTAAAGCTCAAAACAACAAACCGTCACAGACAGCTATTCTTGGAAATAAATCTGAATATTTGGTTTATGGATGGCAGTCAAATAAATTGTATTAATCGACATTGCATTCTACAAGAACCTTATTAAAGCCAAAATATATAAAAAGAAAACAAAATATTTAAACCTTGCTTTTGATGTGATCTATATGTTGATTTGATCTACTACTAGAAACTATTCCAGTAGTTTTTTTTAGAGGTAAAGGTAAATGTGTAAGCAACATATTAGACAGACTAGTATACAGTTCACCTGATAGTTAGTGGATGATATGGCCCATACTCACCTACATCTAGCCTCGATTAAGAATCAATTTTTTTATACATATTGCCATTCCAGAGAACTAAGATGCAATGCCTCACTATAAGTATCTCTCAGAAAGTCTCCAGTCTTTGTCATGCACTATGCAAAACATGGCATTAAGCTACTATTTCAAACTTTCAATTTTCCTCATCAGAGTCAATCTATACGTGCTGCAGGCATTCAAATGTCTCTGTGAATATGTTAATTGATTATTTCATTTAAATACTTCAATTATTTATTATCTGCATATAATGCATTGATTGCCTGTCAATATGTTTTTCTAATCATATTTGAAATAATCTTCTAATAAAATGGTGGGTGTGCTATTGATATAAAACATAATAAATGTAAATGTGTAATATTTCAGGAGCACCATAAAAGATCCATCCCGAAAGACACATGGAATCTTCTACTAGACTTTGCTACACAAATAGATGACGGCATGAGCAACTACGATGCTGAGGGTGCATGGCCAGTCCTAATTGATGACTTCGTAGAGTGGTGCCAGAAACAGGGGTTAGCAGCAGATGGGGTCAAAGCCCTAGAGCCTGCGTCTGGCTAGCTGATACCCAACTGTTACTTACAGCGCGAAGCGAGGGTACAAAGTGTTTGTACAGAATTGGAAGTACAAGACCAACATTTTATTGGGGCACTTGTAACATACATAGTACTAATCCTATCTCGTTTCGTCCTGTACAGTCTTGAGCTGTGTACAGTCGAGTGGGTCGCCATCATAATTTTCTTCGAATTATGTAGCTGACTAAATTGTGCAGTGTTTGATTGAACAGTCCAAATGGCTTGGAACATTGGAATGGAAACTTGGCTTGTTATGGAACAGTGAATTTGTGTTTATTTATTACTCAACTGTATAACGCTCTTGATCTATTCGTCCGTTAGGTAAATTTTATAGGATTGTTGCATCCTTTTCTGAATAATAACTGAAAATTACTATTTCTTTTCAAATATAAATAGACAAATATAAATGCAGTTAGTATAACTTTATTTTGATTGTTACTACTTGAATTCAATTCTCGCTTATTATCTATCTTGCAGTTTTACACAAAGCCAAAATTAATATTATATCATTAGAAAAATATTGTATGTTATATAAATATGGTTGAATAATAGAACAGAAAGAAGATAAGCTATGTAATTTCCAATTAACACAAAAATGAAAATTTACATTGAGGAAATGCAATACCTTATTTCTTAAACTACCAAATGTTTATTTAAGCTATTTTTGCTTGAATTGAATCTTGAGTTTGTCATCTAATATGTGAAAGAAATGTTATATAAAATTATAAGTTACAATGTTTTCTATACTAAAGGGGATTCTATGGCGCGATTTAAAGTAACAGTGTTATAATGCAAACTTTTATGTAAATATGTATATACATGTTAATGGTATTCTTTTTTTTTTTAATAATTAAAACTTAGAAATTTTTTGTTTTGATTTTTACATACACAAACTTTAGGATGCTTTTAAAATAGCATATCAATTATTTGATAAGCTATCACTTTATGGTTTACGTAATTTATCTATTTCTAAATGAAGAAATTTTACAACAAAACATTGCATAATGTATAGATCTACGAGTATGTTATCACTTGTGGATATTAGTAATTTGAGATAATTTAAGAGACGAATAATTGGTAAAATATGTTGACCTCTCTTATTTACCTGTATTCTTCCAAAGTTTAAATGAAAACTTATTTGGTGTAGTAAAAGCGTGATCTGTGATTATCATACTAATTTCTTAATACAATATATATTAAAACGTATAATTCTTGGTAAAATTATTTAAAATTGAACAAAATGATTAAAATATGGAAGTAATATTTAAATAGTAAATAAAACTTATGACAGTTGTTTTTAATACAGTGTTCATTTATAATAATCTGTTCTGTACTAATAATCAAGAATTTTGAAGCATCTATTTGTTTTAATATTTAATTTTTCATGTTGCAATAGATTGTCTAGAGAGATATCTACTGTTGTTTTTAATAACATTGATTCATGAGATCATAGTTAGTGTTTGGTACTTAGATTTATTGTACAAAACAAATTGATGTATTATGAATTAATTACATTAAATTGTTAATTAAATTTATTATTATTTTCCTGTAGACCAGGTAAGTTAATTTCTTGTAAGAGTTGCTTTATTATGTTTTTGCCATTTTAAAACCAGAATAATATTGAGTAGCCAAAACCATTTTTTTATAGAAGAGGGGGCATATGAGCATGTGGCTCATCTGATTGAAAGTGTCAACCGCCGCTTAACAACAATTGCAACACCGCATCAAGGGTATTGCAGATGCGTTGCCGGCCTTTTTAAAAGGAGGAAATGAGGAAGCTCGTACTTGAAGGTCCCTAAGTCTCGGTCCGGAAAAATCGCCGGTGGTAAATGATTCGAAACAACAAAGAACAAAAAAGTCGTGCGTGGAAAAAAACTAGTAAATCGCACAGTGTTGGACCGCCAAGCATCCAGATGGCGTGGATGATATCGTGAATTTTGTCGCGATGTGCGTTGGAGGATTTAATGCGAACAATTGCGAACTCCCCGTGGTAGATGCTATAGAAAATGCAAAGGTGTGCCGAATTTGCAAACGGTGTTTTGGCATGAAATGCTTTGCTGTTCACGCCAAGCCTTTTAGAAGCCAATTTAGCCTTCCCTTCCAACTGACCCCAGAACTGTACGTCATTCGATATGTCGACGCCGTGGATTCTGATGCTGGCTGAGGCAACAAGGGGTGTGGCCTTAAATTGAGGAGATTCGACAAAAGGGTTGTTTATAGCGGTTAACGCACAAACCTGCCTTTTGAGGGTTAAACTGCAATAGATTTAGTCGACCCCAATCCGAGACTGTTTAACAAAGATTCAACGTCAGACACAAGTTTGTTCCGGCTCGACGGAGTGTGCCCGAGAAATTGGCACGGCCGCTGTAAAAAGTATCACCAGTGCTTTCACCCGCATAATAATGAATGTTACCATTGTGTATCATTCACATGCAGAAGAAACAGCGTAGATGGCACGCACGCTTTTAGGAACACCAGTATTAAAAGGCGTGTAGTCTCCATCGAAAGAAACGGTTTGTGCCAAACCCGAACGAAGGCCTGCCTGATGAGTCAGGTAAACCGGAAGGTCATCAGCTGACCGACCCCGATCAAAACGTACTGACGGTCGTTAATCAGCTGGTGGTCCGCAAGATATCTCATGAACTCATGCATTTAAATTAGTCCCCAACGAAATTTGTAGGGAAACCACTGATTATAGAATTAACGATATTATAAGTATAGATAAGTAAAATCAAAATGTAGATGCGTTGTTACCTATGGGGACTAAGATGGAATGCCTCAGCATGTAATTATAATCTCTATATCCTTCAGACCGGAACTTAACAAACAGCGCAAACACTGCTAAATGACGGCACAAATAGGCCAGACATACTGTCACCAACCCAAACATACTGCTAAGCAGAAAAGGAGTCTCATCACCTATAGTATCTAGTAGTATTTTACGTCTGGCGTTAACGTGATGGTTATACTGCCATCTATCGGAAAAGTTATAACATTTTTCAGGTATATTCCATAGTCGCTTATACGCGACACAATCGACGAGTAAGGGCTCCATCGCCTAACCGATTATTATCTGACAATGTCAAAGTTGAGAAATACAAGGAGTGGTACTTAAAAAAACCTTTGAAGTATATTTTGACTATTTATAGCATTGACGTATCCAAAAGAGTTCCAATCACGCGCCAGTCCAGACTTTTTTTTTATAGGATCGAATGACAAACGAGCACAGTCCACCTGATGGTAAGTGGTTACTGTGGCCCATAGACATCTACATTTATCCTCGTTTGCGAATCAAAACACAGATGCGTTGTCACCCATGAGGACTAAGATGGAATGCCTCTTTTCCAGTAAAATGGGTCTCCGGTTCTCTACACTCGCCATACGAAACACAGCAGTGTTAAACTGCTATTTGACGCTGGTATTCTGTGAGAGCGTGATCCTTCCCCGTTCGAGCCGACCCATTCGTGCTATAATTATACTACTAATATAGCTGCAACATGGCTCTACCACGTAAAGATCTATAGTGAAGGCTGATTTACACAGGGTCAGGCGCCAGTGGTGGCGTCGAAAATTGACTAGCACTGTTTACATGCAGTCATGGTAATGGTAACTTCTTGAAGGTGTACGCGCATTATTGGAGTCCGTGGGCAAAAATGAATTCATGGAAACGGCAGAATATACAATGATTGACATATTTGTTGAGAAAATGTTCCTATCTGATGTTGAAAGAGTTGATGGAAATGTTAGAAGAAGAGATGTTTAATAATAAACTACTTTGAACCAGCTGATGAATCTATCCCGATAAAATGTGGAAAAACTGGTAAATTATGTAATGTTCATAAAATCATAAATTATAATATTTTAATATAGTGCTTTCAATTGTGTGTTTAGTTGTCTGTTGAGTTAGAATCTAATTTTTTTTTTTTGTATAGAGAAATATAATAAAATAAAAATCATTCACGCATTTACAAAATATCATAGAATTATTACGCATAGAAACGCAGTCCAGTACAAAACACGAGCGTTAAAATGATGCAAAGTCATTATGTTAGTGGGCGCGAGTCGAATGTGCCTACGCTCGTCACACGTACACATACACGCCATTCAGTGATACCAGTTTCTGGTGTTTGCAATCAAATTGTGCAAATCACTATTTTTTGGTTAATTTTAAAAAATCGTTATAATAAAGATTACGTATTATGTACGAAGATTATTTAGTAGAAGTATTTTATGAGAATATAAAATGGAATAAAATAAACACAATAATGATGTTACTAATATAACTTTATTATACATATATTAATGGTAAAAAATGCATACGTAATAAAATTTAAGAATATTATTAAACACAATTAATTTGCTCGAATACAATAAGCACATCGTGTAATGTTTAATTTTAACCGACTTCTAAAAGGGAGGAGGTTATCGATTCGGTGTATTTTTTAATGTTTTTTAATTCTACAATTTCTAAACAAATTTAGATTTTTTTGAAAGGATATACACACAGATTGATCCAATACACACGCTGAAATTTTAATGGTTGTTTTCCCGAAGTGAAATGATTTTGCCTTAGTAGTACAATAGAATAGATGTAAAAATGGCAGATTTACAATCGAGAAAAACAATACTCGAATGCGATCTCAAACCAGTAAGCAATATCTCGCAAGTAGGTCGGGCGTACAGGCTAGCTTATACCGAATTACTATAATAAAGTCTGAAAAAAATTCGCTGGACGTAATGTAGTGTTACATCTATCGCCCATGCTACCGCACGCTTCCTACAAAGTGAAGGACCACTAATAAATGTTCATAACATGAATTCTCAAGCGTAGTGATACGACATAAACTAGTTTGGACGCCCGAATAGCTTGTGAGGTATTACTATAGTAAATCTGCCCTTTTTTTTAATTGTAATATTTTTTAATTTAATAAATTGAATCTACTATCGAGACAGTATAATTTGGCTGCGGGACAACAACCACTAAAATTTCAGCATGTATTGCTTGTATTATACGAATTGATCAAGCTTAGAAATCAGTGTACATACATATTGATAACCTTTCTTTTTGGGAGTCGGTTAAAATAGGCTATGTTTGGGTCTAACGTAACATCTGGTTAATGTTTGGGTGTAAAGTGACATCTGGTTAGTAAAGGCGTTCTTATTAATAATCTCATGATGTTGTAAATAAAAAAGTTTTTATTCTATACCCCAAAACGTAACCTTAGTCATTAAAAAAATCAAATTAAAATAAAATAGTCGCGTTAAAATGGAGTCGACGAATCGCGATTAACTGATCATTCCGTATTAATTTTAAATAGACACCCATTGTTAATATAATGTTAACACTTAGAGAAGTAGGTATCTATATATAAACATTTGAGTTTTGCAAAGAGCGTTGCGATTAAACGTTTTAAACACAAATAGAAAATAAATATATTTAAAAGAAAATTGTGATTTTTTCCCCACAACTAGCAACATTTGTATTATGAGAGCTTAGGTAAGTATTTTTTTAGTTTTACGTACTTATAATGAATTAAATGTATAAACTTATATGTGAAATGTAATACCATTACTTCTTTTATGTTTATCATCACCGTTGTGATAATATTTTACAACACATACGGTAATTTTTACAATTTTTCGCGAGCTCTTCTCCGTAAGACGTGACGTTGCGCACTGACGCGCCGCTGAGTCAACTAACGCGGTTTCGAGTTAGTTTTACTTGCTTCACTTTCGGTGCGCGTACTAGTATTCTATGCGTAATAATTCTATGCAAAATATGTTTTATTATTTAATGTAACATATTGGGTGTCGACTTATAAAAATAAAAGAGGTTCGCCTGCGGCTTCGCTTGCGTCATAGTTAAATAATTTATCTTAATGTATTCTAACAGCATTACTGTACTGTCCTACACAAGGAGATTATAATATAATATATTACAACCTCCTTGGTCCTACACATTCCTGTACACAGATTACTGTATACCAGTCTACGAGTTACGTCTATTAAGTATTATTATTTATAATTAATATATTATAAATTAAATTTTTCTACGTTCCTGTATACGAGGACAGGACAGGACAGTTACTATACTTTGGTAACGTTTGAGTATTTGGGCACTAGTCTATGGACGTCACCCCCTATATATAATGTACTCTGTGATGGACGTACTCATAGAAAGGTTTTGGCGGGAACTTGATCGGCGGCGGCTTGCTGCTTCAGTATTATTGCTTAAATAATGGTTTGAAGTGGACTTTGATATGTAAAAGTTTTGTGTATTAAGTGTCTGCGCATGTGAACTATTAGTGGAAACTGTGAAACAAGTGCTATGATGGTGATGTGATTCTCAAAATAAGATGTTTGTCTGCTTAGGCGCCTTGAGATACCATCGCCAATCTTCAGCGGTCTGCTGGCTCAAGTTGCCGTCTAAATCTCGCAAGGGCTTCACAATGTGACGCATCAACATATTGTGAAGCAGTATACTATGAAGGATAATTAAAATATATTATAACTTCAGGCTCAGAAGGGCTAGATCCCAGAGCCGTAAAGGCAGTTATTAAAAAAAAGAAATAGAACGTACCACAGACTAACATGATGCATACCAAATACGTAGATAGAGGATTGACTAGATAAAGCATTCGCGTATGCTTTTGAGATAGAAATAGGCGGGAGGTACTTTCCCTGGGTTACCAGATATTATTCCATTTCCCCCAATCTGGGTTTATTTATATTCACAGCACTTAATTCATACAAAAAATTTATTTGTTACCATAAAAAAATGTTCTTTTATAATTCAGATGATTAATTCATTTATCTTGAAAATACATTCTGTGACTA